GGGTTTAATATTTTTCCTAGAACTTTTTTTTTTTTTTTTTTTTTTTTTTTTTTTTTTTTTTTTTTTTTTTTTTAAAAAAAAAAAAAAAAAAAAAAAAAGCCCCAACCACAAGCACTGTTGCTGGGGAGTGGGAGCGTGAACCTGCCTCCGTGCGACCGAGTGGCTTGTCTCCACTGCGCATCTGCCAGCTGGGCTTTAACCACCTGTATCTCCTCCATCCGGCACCCTCGAGCGTGGGGCGTCCCTGCAGCACCACCGGAGCCTCCCGCAGCCCCGGGAGCCTCCCGTATCCCCGGGAGCTGACCCAGCTTCCCCGGGAGCTCTCAGGGGTGGCCGGTTACTGGGGCCGCGCGATGGTGATGGGGATGGGAGGATGGAGAGGGACCCTAAACTTCCTCGCATCTGCGCCTTCCTCGCGCTCTGGCTGCAGAGGAAGCATCGAGCCAAGCCCTGCAGCCTGCAGCTGCCTGCCCCCAGCCAGATCTCCAGCCCGGTCAGTACCACCCTTAGCTCACTTTCCTTCTCTTGCTGTCCCTGGTTGCTCATCCCAGTGCTTCAGATGGGTATTTGGACCCAGATATGGGTATCTGGTTTGCTTTGCGTTTTCTGCTTAATGGTTTGCTTAATGGTGCCACTGGAAGAAGCTTATCTTGGCAAGAGCAAAGCCTGTGTGTGCTGCAGCTCGGTGACACGCAGGTTCTTCTATGCTGGAGGCTGGTGTGCTGCTAAACAAGCTGTAGGAGATGGTTTGCAGAGTCCTCACTGATGAATTGCAAGTTACTGGATGAGTCCACGGGAGGAAAGAAACCTCCCTCGTGGGAGGTTCATCTTCCCAGCAAGATGGCAAGTGGCATCTCAAAGCTTTTCTCAGAAAGCCACCACCGACGTCTCCGCTGGTGCCACGTTTGGTCTAGTTGGTGTGTGTGTGTGTGTGTGTGTTTGCTGCTGTGGTCTGGCTGCGTAGGCAAATCTCTGCCTGCCTTGACATCCCGCTCGGGCTGCTCAAACCACTTGCAGTTAAAGGCACTGGGTCTTGCTACTGGCCAAGGTGGAGAATTCCCATGGCTGTGAAAGGACATCGTCCCATGGCTCCTGAGGAGCTGTGGTAGGAGGATGATTCCATGCAGGAGCTGGATACAGGAGTTCATTTTCAATATTCCTCTCTGCTTAGGTGCGTGATGCTCCAGAGTGGAACATGCACAGCTGTACAAGTGCTGATGCTCTGTAGAGCCTGGAGGAGGCTGAGGGGAGACCTTATTGCTCTCTCCAACTCCCTGAAAGGAGGGTGTAGAGAGATGGGGGTCGGTCTCTTCTCCCAAGTCACAGGCGACAGGACGAGAGGAAATGGCCTCAAGTTGCACCAGGGGAGGTTGGATATTAGGAGAAATTTTTTCACTGAAAGGGTTCTCAACCATTGGACTGGGCTGCCCAGGGAGGTGGTGGAGGCACCATCCCTGGAGGTGTTCAAAAGAGGGGTTGATGAAGTGCTGGGAGGTATGGTTTAGTGATGATGCTCCTTGTTTGTTGTGCGGGTGTTTATTTTTGTCAAAATTAGGTTGACTGATGGACAAGATGATCTTTGAGGTCCCTTCCAACCTAGAAGATTCTGTGATTCTGGTTTCCAGTGTTTCCATGAAGATGGGGGGGAGGGAAATCTAGTGTTTCCATGAAGATGGGGGGGAGGGAAAGAGCCTACAACTTCCACTGGTCCCATCCCTGGCTCTCTCCCTGCTGTGGGGTCTCTCCCTGGGGAGCTGAACTGGAAGGACGAGCAGGAGAAGACCTCTTGGCTGGCTCCTGCTCGGGCTCGTGGCCAGCAGTGGGAAGCCATTCCCAGCCAACAGCTCTCTGCCAAAGCCTCCGAACGACACCAGAAGTGTAAGGTGGCTGCTTTAAGCTGGGAGATCATATGGAACACGGAAACTTGTTGTTATGGGGATTTTCAGGTCTTTCTTGCCTGTGATCACTGCGACCAGCAAAAGGCAGGGTAACCCTGGGGGGAAAGCTCGGGCTGGATGTGCTGTGAGCGTGGGTTTAATGTCTGAATCATGCGGGGGGTCTTGAGAGAGCAGAGCTACCAACGGGGAGAGAAAGCCACTTCCTAAGGGGAAGGGTGCTGGGTGCAGGTCGACAACCACATCCGTGGGCTCTTGGCGAGGCCACGCTCCCCGAGACGGTGCGGGGAGGGTGGGGAGCACGGGGCTGGGGTGCAGGGGGAGAGGCAGAGCCTGAAACTCAGTTCCTGTTGTTTTCAAAAAGCCGCTTTGATTAGATGGGTTCCAGACCAAGTACCTGACTAGTCTTAGAAAAACAAAGCCTAACTTTTTTCTTTTTTTTTTTTTTTCCCTCCAACTCTGCAAGGGGGAAAAAACTAAATAGTAAGTTCAAGCTTTCCAGCAGCCTCTGATGGCCACACCTGCCCCAGGGTCAAGGAGCAACCAGAGTTTAATGCCCTTTGGAACATAATTGCCAGCCTCCGGGTCCAAATAGCAACCAGACCGTGTCTAACACAGGATAATGATAATGTGGGACCAAAGTGCTACAAAGCCTGGACTTGTCCTTACAAGACGTACAGCTACACGGGATTTCTGCCCCGAGTGAGATTCGTGTCTGTAGAAGTGGGATGTTGAGTCCAGCCTGCCCTGTGGGGTGGAAGAGGGTCAAGTTCAGAGGAGGGAGCCTAAGCACAGATATACTGGGGAGGTATGATCAAGAGAAGCAGAGGGGAAGGCACAGCTGGAAGTCTAGCAGGATAAAAAGTCTCTTTCTGTTTGGGATGCAAATAGAAAGAAGCAGAAAGTGTTTCTGTTGAGCTGAACTCTGGGTTTTATGCACAGACAAGGTTTGGTGGGGAAAGGAGGTGTTTCAGCATCACCTTGGGGTCTGTGGCTGTTCTTGTGTGCTTCGTTGAGGAGTTCATTCTAGATACTGCTGATTAAATCTCTTCTTCTTCTTTTTTTTTTTTTTTTTTTTAAATAAAAGAATGTGTTTTAAACAAAACATGTGCCAGAGACCTTGGCTTCCCCTCAATCTTCTTGAAGGCTTGAGTCTGTTAAAGCATCATCTGTATGTGCTGAAGATGCACTAAGACTTATGTTGCAGAGTTGCTCAGATTGCTGAGCAGATGGGCTCCAACATGTCTGATTTTTGCCAGCCCTGGCCGTGTTTTGACAACAGAGCCGTATTTTTGTGTTGTGGGATTTTTAGTGGCATAAACACTCCTGTTTTTTGCCACCAGTGCCTTAAAAAAAAAAAAGGAGAAGGTGCTTTTCACGCACTCTTCTGAAATGCAGTTCAAAGAAACGCAGCGCCTGAGGTGTCAGGAGCAGGGTCCTTGGGGAGAGAGCTGGATATTTAACTCAGCTGCCTGGTGAAGCCTACTGACCACTTATTTATTCCAGATGTTGAAACCAGGAGGTACCTGTGACAACCACCAGCTTTTATGGTCCTCTCAGATGTGGTTCCTGTCAGTCTGTAGCTGCAATCCTTGTTCCTTGATGCGATACATCTCGCTTTCCCTTCTCCAGGAGTGTATTCCCAGGAGTGTATTCCCAATCAACTCTGTCCCCTCTTTTTCAGGGCGAAGGCGTTGTGAAAGAAATCAACATCACCCACCATGTGAAGGAAGGCTCTGAGAAAGCTGATCCTTCGCAGTTTGAGCTCCTGAAGGTGCTGGGACAGGGCTCTTTCGGCAAGGTGAGTTCACTCCTTCCTATGTGTCATGTCAGATAAACGACTTTGATGACAAAAGGGACTGTCCCCAACAAAACCACTTCCCTGGTTCCCACCAGACACTGAGAATCTGACTGATGAGCCCACTTAGCAAATGGTTGCTTTTGACTTGAAAGGCAACCGTAGCGATGCCTTCTCCTCAGGGCCAGCCCGTGTGTCCAGAGCTCCCCTGTAATTCTTTTTTTAGATGATCAGGAGGAAGGGATCCTGCTTGTGAATGCAGGTGTTGCACAGGGCAGAGGGACCTCCCGCAGCTCTCTCGCTGGCTGCCAGGCTCTCAGCTGAATGGAGGACTCGGGCATGTTCCTCTCTTCTCAGAAATGATGCTGTGTGCATCTGGTTTTGGCCCCCTGTTTACGGTCCAGTTTCCCTTCTGTGAAGGGGGAAGGAAGTAGCCTGTAACTCTTATCTGTTTCAGTGTGTAAATAATCCAGGTCTCTTACAGACCATCTGCTCACCCCTTAAATCAACTCCACGTCAATCAGTTACCAGTGCTGACAGTGGGGGCTCGCACAGGACTCTGTGCTGTTGCCTGGGCAAATGCAGCAGTGGCTTTGTGCAAAAGAAAGGAGGTGTTTTTTTGAAGCTTCCTAAAACCAGGTAGTCTGGGACATCAGGAGAGGGAAGGAGGTAAAATCCAGAGAGGATGCAGGACCTGAATGGTAAGGAGTTGATCTGGCTTCAGCTCCAGGAAGAGGAAGCCAGGAAGAGGAGGCTTCAACCTCCAGGAGGTCAAACCAGAGGGCTTCATGGTGCATTGAAGCATCAGTGCTTCAGGTCACAGCTCTCCCAGGCGTCAGGTGCAGCCCCACGGGAGCTGCAGGAGTGAGGAAGACTATGGGAGAGGAGGAAAGTGAGAGAGTGCTGTGATGGCTGGAGATATGGGGTGAGATAAGTCCGCAGACAGAGCTTTCCTGAAAACCTCATGGGGTTTCCCATGGAGAGCTTGAGGTACAACTTACCAGCCCTGTGGCCAGTTGCTTCTTAGGGTTACTGTGAGGTTTGCCACTTTGGGAGGCACCTGGCTCCTACTGCTCACATTCAGCACTGGGCTAACGTGGCACACTTCTGCCTCAGGTTTTCCTGGTGAGAAAAATAACCCCGCCAGACAGCAACCACCTCTATGCCATGAAAGTGCTCAAGAAGGCGACGTTGAAAGGTAGGAGCTTCTCACTGTGATACTCTTATCCATCCTTTTCCTAAAGAGCACTGGGGAAATGTCCCAGCAGTCACTGCTGGCCCCAGGATGGTCTGGGTGAAAGAGAAGTATGTTTATCTCAGCCAAAAAACCTCCTTTTCTCTTCATCTATAAAAAAAAAACCCTTGTTGCAGTGATGGAGGTGGGAGAAGATCTGGCTTAAACCCCTTGTTGCAGTGATGGAGGTGGGAGAAGATCTGGCTCGAGCTGCCTAGTGCTGGGGGATTAAGGCTGGGGACAAGGCTGACTCTGGGGTACTGTGTCTGAGCTGTTCCTCTCTCTTCCCACAGTGCGTGATCGAGTGAGGACGAAGATAGAAAGGGACATCTTGGCTGATGTAAACCATCCCTTTGTGGTGAAACTCCACTACGGTGAGTGTGGAGCTAGTTGGGACGCTGGGAGAGGGGCTGCAGCCCCAAACAGACACTGACTGCTTTTAAGCACAATAAAGAAAGATGCTGCTATAGGCACGAGCAGGTAGATGAGCTGCTTTGAGGATGTTGAGAACCCCTCATGGTTCCTAACAGGCTTCTGGAGATACCTGAAATGGAGAAGAGGCCTGGATCAGTCCGTGTCCCTCAATGGTTGTGCTGCTCTGGAGCCTTCCCAATCCCCTTAACACAAATCCTTTCCTGGAAAGGCCTTTGGTCCCATGCCTGCTCTAGCTGGGGAACAGAGCATAGACCAGGAGAAGAGGTTTAAACATCAAATCCTTGGGATTAAAACGTTAAATCGGGAGAAACTGAGAAGGCAGAGTTAACTGGTCAAGCCAGAGTTTGGCAGGATTAATGCTGTGACTGGGGAAGGTGAGGACAGCTTCTTTCCCTGTAAAGTGACCAGTGTGTCTCTGAGGAAAACATCCCTTTCAGGAGGGCATCACTGGCTGAAAGGGAACCCACACCCCATAAAATGAGGGTTTTCTGCAGCACCAGAAATGAGCTCCCATTTCAAGATCCCGGCCAGGCTATCCCATTTACCCCAAATAATGCTCCCTACCTGTGTTTAACCTCGTAACCACGCAGGGCATCTGCACAACTGGAGCCATTGGGATTTAAGTGATTAATGTAACACCGTGGAGCTTTCCCTCAGCACAGGGCTCTGATTCCTGCTCCGGCTTGTGTTTCAGCATTCCAGACGGAGGGGAAGCTGTATCTCATCTTGGATTTCCTCAGAGGAGGTGACCTTTTCACTCGGCTTTCCAAAGAGGTGGGTATGCTCTGGCATCTTGGTGGGTTGCTGAGGCTCTCGGTTCATCTGGGCTTAATTGCCTGGAGAAGCGATTGACCCTTGTAAAGTCTTTGTGAGGGCTGGAAACAACCTCCAAGGTGGCAACAGGGTGGATGTCTCAGGAGCCCTGTCCTCTGGCAGAAAAGCAGCAGTGGAGGAGGCAGGTCTCACCTCTGCTGAGCATCACGTTAAGAATCTAAATGGTGGTGAGACACTGGAGCAGGTTCCCCAGAGAAGCTGTGGCTGCCCCATCCCTGGAGGGGTTCAAGGCCAGGTTGGAGGGGGCTTGGAGCAACCTGGGCTGGTGGGAGGTGTCCCTGCCCAGGGCAGGGGGGTGGAACTGGATGATCTTTAAGGTCCCTTCTGACTCTAACCATTCTGTGATTCTATGAAACCAGGTGCTGCAGTGTTGGCTGGTTGTGTCGTGGTGCTGGGATGGGGCGAGGGAATGGGAGAGGTAACGAGAGGTTGTGCCAGGTGAAGACAACCGGGTGGGAACAGTGTTCTGCTGCAGTGTTGGCTGGTTGTGTCGTGGTGCTGGGATGGGGCGAGGGAATGGGAGAGGTAACGAGAGGTTGTGCCAGGTGAAGACAACCGAGACCATAACCTGGTGAACATAAATGAAGAGTTTTTTAAAAACCTGTTTGCTGCTTAGCAACCCTACTTGTTTTTTTTGCGTTGCTGCTTAATTGATACTTTGGGATGGCAGGTAAAGCCTGGGAAGCTTGGGTGTGAAAAGGCAGGAGGGAGCAACACAGACGTGAAAGGTCTTGTGTGGGTGCAGCAGAGCTGGTCCCGCTGCCGGCGTTGTAACCCCAGCGCCTGTCCACTTCCTCTCCCTTCCCCCAGGTCATGTTCACTGAGGAGGACGTGAAGTTCTACCTAGCGGAGCTGGCTCTGGGGCTCGACCATTTGCACAGCCTGGGAATCATCTACAGGGATCTCAAACCAGAGAAGTACGTGCGGCGTCCCTTGGTCCCCGGCCTGTAGCCAGCAAAGGGCACAGCCTTCTTCCACCAAGGCAAAGCCAAATGGTGCCCCGAGGCCAGATGGAAGGTGGCAGTGACAAGACTCCTCCTCAGATGAGCTGTTAGGGCCAGGAGCTCTGGGGAGGCAGCGTGTGTGCACCACATGTCTCTTCTGGCTCCAGCTTTAAGCAGTTGAGAGCCTTCAGAGGGAAAAGGCACCAGGCTGGGTCTCTGCAGAGACACCACCAGCTGCAGGAGTTGGGTGTTCTTACCTGGGGATCAAAGGTGGTGTCACCTGTGTGGGTCATTCGGTCAATGAGAAGTTGAGGGCATAGAGAGAAGGGAGCTGCTCCTTGTCCCACTCATGTCTTGGTGATGGAGCTTTATGCACTTGGGGGAAGGGAGAGATCATTTTCTCTTCTGGATTCTGGGAGCATCTCAGACCAGCCTCTGCTGCGTGTGCGTCTTCTCACCAGCCCTTATTGCAGACAGTAACAACTTGGGTTTTTTCATTAATTCTGTAGCATCCTCCTGGATGAAGAAGGGCACATCAAACTCACAGGTAAGGGACTCCACAAAAGCCTCGTGCTCCAGCAAGCTTGGTTCTTGAAATACGGAGCTTCTCTTGGGCCTCTCTGCTCTGTGTGGTTGCTCAGAGCACACGGGTGCATCCTGACACGTTTTCTCTTACGTAGATTTTGGCTTGAGCAAGGAGGCTATAGACCACGAGAAGAAAGCCTATTCCTTCTGTGGGACGGTGGAGTATATGGCTCCAGAAGTCGTGAATCGCCAGGGCCATTCCCACAGTGCTGACTGGTGGTCCTACGGGGTGTTGATGGTACGTACCCAGCCAACAGGTTTGGGGACCTGGCTCAGCAGCTGCTCCAGAGGTGGCTCTGAAACACCCTGACATGATTCTGCACGTCTAGCAGATGTGCTGGCCTGGGGATGTTCTCCAAGCCCTTCAAAAGGGCTCTGCCACAGGCTGTCCAGGCATCCAGCCTGGTTTCTTGGGGGATATAAAACTCCTGAGGCTGTGGTCCCAGTGAGTGTGGGGTGTGCAGCATCCAGCATGGGGGTGTCTGTGTCCACCCCAGCGCTGGGACCTCGGTGTCTGTGCAGATCTGGTGCCACCATCTGGTGGTTCCTGAATCCGAGGGCTCCCACAGGAGCAGACACGGGCTCAAAGATACTCCCACCGCAGACCTTGTGAACCAAGCTCCTTCTGAGAAAACACCATGTCTGGTGTGATCTTCTTCAGAGCTAGGTTTTTGAGCCCTCACCAGCTTTGGCGAGCTCCCAGAAGAAGGTGCAGTGGGATCTGTGCTTGACTTGCTCAGACGTGACCTCCTCTTCTTCTCTTTCCCTCCCAGTTTGAAATGCTCACCGGCTCGCTGCCCTTCCAGGGGAAGGACCGTAAGGAGACCATGACCCTCATCCTCAAGTAAGAGGAGTTTCTCTTTCGTTGTATGTACAGGAGAGGAGCTTCTGCTCTTTCTCTGAGGGTGTTGCAATTTGGGGGTTCTCGCAATTTAATGGCACTGTTTGGCAAGCGGTTTTGTGCCCACGGTGAGTCTGAAGGGTGCAGTGTAAATGCCAAACAGATGATTGTACTTTCGGGGGTGGAGGTGCTGTAGTCAGCTTGTGGGTTGACTTCTTTCAACCTGCAACGGATTGCTTAACTTCCTCTGCAGAGCGAAGCTGGGCATGCCCCAGTTCCTCAGCTCCGAAGCACAGAGCCTCCTGCGAGCCCTTTTCAAAAGGAATCCAGCCAACCGATTAGGTAAGGCAGTTATTATTCTATTTTTTTTTTTTTTTTTAGTTTCTGAGTACACCTGACACTGTCTTGGGGCCTCTCACATTCTCCTGGGTCAGCAGCGTGTTTGCACTTGTGCGCGGTTAATGGGCTCGTTAAATTACAGCCAGGTTCCCTGTAATACCTGGCTCTCTTGAATACAGGGCAGTTGCCTTCACTTTTGTCAGCCATCCTGATTTAATGCAGCTCCATGGGTGTATCTT